TACGATTCTGTGCGTACTCTGTGATGTTGATCTCCACGTGACACATTTAGTGGAAGACTCATAGAAAGCGGTGAGTATGCAAAGACTCTGTGTTCAATGTGATTGAAATCTTGGTTTAGCGTTTTCTCTGTTTGGTTATGGAGATGTTTGGCCGTGTAGATTGCAGTCAACTTGACCTTTCCACGCTCTGAAGAGAGCGGAATCGGCCGGAACGTCAGTTTGTACATGAATAAAGAAATACATTAACACCTCGTGTTTGCTGAACAGAAGTAGAAAGAAATATACAAAAACATGTATTCCACTGGCCGGCTAATATAAGTTGCCGACATTGTAGGGCTCACTCTTCTTAGATAACAATAGAATCTTGCTGTTCTTCCATTAAAATGAACCTTGCATTTTGACAGACAACCTGTGAAGTGCCGAGCCAATGTTTTTATAATGATTTGCAGAGGCTCTACAGATGTCCTTATCTTACCTTATCTAATTCGGACTTGGGATTTTTCGATTCTTCACCGACGAAATACCATGTTGGATGCAGGAAGGGAAACCCGTTGGAACGACACATCTACTCCCCTTTATTTCATACGAGGGGACGTGGCTACTGAAGAGATCCCAGTAATTATCGTGAATAATTTTCTCCATTGCTTTCTGAAAGCTGCAACTGTACCACCTAAACGTTAAAGTACAATCATTTTGGAGCGCTTTCCGAACGCGTTTTTCAGCCTCAGCAACTTCGATTATAACTGCTGCTCTTCTCTCTTCAAGATCTTCTTTTATGGCCTCTCTGTATTGCTTTGAAAGTTCCGACGTTAGTTGGCTGACGCCTGTAGTTCGTCCGATTCCACTCTGGCGTGTCAGCTCCTTTTTCTGGAAGTAAACTTCCTTTAGTGACTTCCGTACTGTTAGCTTTCATAGCGCTAGGCTGAAGATGCTTAATAAGCCGATCATATTATTCGTTGATCTTATCGAAAACAGCATCTTTGCAACACCTTAAAGAAGCTGTGCTGTTCTCGGTAGAACTTGTTCAAGTTGAGATAGGACGCCTCAACTTCTTCTGCGTCATAGCTTGATGGCGTGGCGTAAGCGATGAAAATTGTCATGACCGGTATTGATCCAGAGCAATTCAATCGTAAAAGGTCCGATTTGAGTTACTAGTTATTGGAAAGAATCGATGTTCATGTCCAAGTTGTAGTGAGCGCGCTTTACAACTACAGATCACCTAAGTCCATCAAGCCACCTTAGTCCTTCGAGATTTAGGCACCTTAGAATGACCATGACATTTTAGCAGCCTCCCCTTACTCCTCCTACCCATTGCTGCCGTATCGAGGGCCCTTATCAGTGAAATAACACCCACTTATTCTACTGTTTACCTTTGGATACCCACTGAACTAAATTCTGAACGTGGAGCATGTTGTACTCACAGGTAGCTTTCCAGTCTGTCCTAGACTAGATGAGAAGCTTAGTACTTATTGGAGGCGACTCCTAAGTGCCTCCCATATACTTCCCTGACACTTCAGTGCAGGCCTATGGCCGAATTGGCCAGCAGAATAGAAACCGCATAAACCAGAACATGTCCCGAAAGCATGCATGAATACGTCCTCGTAAACACGGAATGTATGTGCCAAATCAGCACAGCAGAATGACAGAGTCGATCTCCTACATCCACCTACATCTCAGAGAAGCATAACGTCGCTTTTGGTCAGCTATAAACCCGCTATTCGCTACATAGCGACGCTTTACGTTGTCTCGCTACTAACCGATATGAGATCCTCTGTAAAGGAGATCGTAGGTGTAGGCCAGATGCATGGAATACCGTGTCCTTTACAAAATACTTGAAAATAGGAAGAAAAAGACACCATAGCAGACCTTTATAGATCCACGAGAGCAGTATTTCCATACTGATAGACAATGTGGACCATCTTTCGATAATCCAATGAAACTGCACAGATTGTCGTGTTCCGTACTCTTCATCTGCGAAACTTTAAGTTCATTTCATGTGTCGTTTTCTTGTTCAGCAATCGCGAGGCTTTTAAACAGCATACATTTACTTCCATAAAAACACAATACAAAACAACGCTAGCTGACGTTTCGGCAGTATCGCCTTCTTCAGAGCCTGGAAGGGTATGCTGATATACAATCTACTAGGCCAAACGCTTCAATAACACTTACAAAAAGACGAAAGACTCTTTTGTAAGTGTTATTGACGGGTATGCTGATATACAATCTACTAGGCCAAACGCTTCAATGACACTTACAAAAAGACGAAGAACTCTCCGGTAATTACATGACGTGACTTCCAATGAGGAAGTTTAGAACAGCTGATTATAGTCGCATGTGGTTGACTACTGCACCATCCCACATCAAAAATCGGTGCGAACGTACGGGATCAGGTCGCGTATGACCTCCGGGCATTCGTCCCTGCTATTCATTGTAGGGTTTTTGGCATTGATCCAAAAAGCCTCTAGGAGTTTTCGCGCTGGTGTTTTGGACTCCTGTGCAAGGATATTGACTTTTACTTCAAAATCGTCTCCGCTATGCTTTTGTATTCAATGCGCGCCTAGTGGGGTGCTTCGTCTTAGTTTTCGTTTGCCATCTAGGTTCTCTTTTATACGGATACACAAAGGTCTGCCCGTTTCGCCAATATATTCATCTCCACAATTATTACAAGAAATCAGGTATATCGTACCTGAACTCATGCAATCACCGTTCCTGCCGTAAGGGCAAATTACGCAATTTGTTGTTTCACACAGACGGTCATACAGGCTGTTGCGAACTAATTGGCGACGTAGAGTAGCCGATGGTATTTCAACTATCGCTACTGATTCCTCTTGACTTGCCCTTCTTAAGCATCGTTTTATAGCCACGGTTACTTCATCGATTATAACAGGTAACATAAACGGGACTTTCTTTTGCCCAAGTGTTTCGCGTGGGCGCGTCGTTCTCCTTGTAAACTTATTTCGCGGGGTTACTATTTCGTAGCCATTGGAGTTGGCTATTTGCCGGGCCAAGTCGCGCGATTCTTCTTTTAGTTCCCTGGTAGTGCACACAGAGGTGGTTGTTCGAAACATGTTTCTCACAAAATTTCTCACAAAGAAAGGAAATGGACAAGGATGTTCTTGTTACTTGGCTTTCGATACCACTTTGTCAGGTAACCGCTACTTGATAGGTTTATTTGGACGTCCAAAAACGGAAGCCACTTTTATCCCGGGTGAACTTTATGTACTCGGACTGCTCGTTTAATAATTCGAAGCATTTGTTCATCTCCTCCTGCGTAGAGAAGACGACAAAACAATCATCTACATATCTGCAGTAGAGTAGTGGCCGTAATTCAATATCTTCGCACAGGAGTCCAAAACACCAGCGCGAAAACTCCTAGAGGCTTTTTGGATCAATGCCAAAAACCCTACAATGAATAGCAGGGACGAATGCCCGGAGGTCATACGCGACCTGATCCCGTACGTTCGCATCGATTTTTGATGTGGGATGGTGCAGTCGTCAACCACATGCGACTATAATCGGCTGTTCTAAACTTCCTCATTGGAAGTCACAAAAAAGCGGTGAGTTTTTCGAGAAGTTGTTGATCGTGTAATTACCAAAGAGTCTTTCGTCTTTTTGTAAGTGTCATTGAAGCGTTTGGCCTAGTAGATTGTATATCAGCATACCCTTCCAGGCTCTGAAGAAGGCGATACTGCCGAAACGTCAGCTAGCGTTGTATTGTATTGTGTTTCTCCATGGAAGTAAATGTATGCTGTTTAAAAACCTCGCGATTGCTGAACAAGAAAACGACACATTTATATTCCAATGCCGAGGTTAAGAGAAAGTCGATCCTGGGAACTGTTCATTTCATGTTTAAAAATTTTCTTGAATATACTTAAAATGCCAAAATATCCTAGCCCGCAGATGTCTGAGCAATTTTTGTCAAAGTTCATAAGATTTGTGATGCTGTTCCGTCAAAACTGCTTTTTTAAAATAGTAGCAATGTAACGAAACCACACACATTTTTCTTCCATGTTTTGCAAATAAAAGAAAAATATTTATATCACTTTTGTTTACTAAATCTTCTAGTTTCCCTGAGCAATGATTTATACGGTTTTATACGGAAGAGCCTTACAGTTATTATGCGTCATTTTCTTTTCACATCGGCTATTTTTTAAGCAGTTTAATATTCCTTTGCTTATAGTGTTATTCCCTTGCAACGGTTTACCGCCTCATCGTGGCTGGAAGGTGTTCCTGGGTGTCGGGTTGCTATGTACAGCGGGGGGATTTATCCATACGGTAAGGTTTCCCAAGCTTAAAGGTGTCCGACCTTATCATCAGGAAGCCCAGCTAAGAATAAATCAATAATAGGATCCACCATCGTTCTGGTATCAAACTAGTCGCATTGTGGCAAATCCCCATCTTATCCACAAGGGCGGCAACCACCTGTGGTGGTGACTACCTGAAGCAAAGTTAGGCCAGAACGACCTCGGACTCCAGGGAGCCACAGTGGCTTAACCAGCAAGGCTTCGTAGAATGGGCCGTCCAAGTATCCAAGTATAGCGTTATTCTGGCTGTTTAGTACGCAGAGAATTATTTTGGGACTCATGGACTAGAACCAACTCGTCCAAGCAATCTTTGTTAATTTATCTAAAAATGGTTATAATATAAACATTATTATTGCACATTACGTTACATAATCGGATCAGTTTGCTTAAATTGCTTGTCATTTATTTTATCTCTCTACTTGGACTGTATCCGCGTCTGTCCAGGCAATATTTTTCTCCATAGATTTTGATGAGTAGCACCTAGCCTATCGCCAATGACGTCGAGTACAAGATTTGTGGAGGAGTAAACCACTTAGTATAAAAAAAGCAGAAAATTCTTTAGCAGCGGAAAGAGAATGTGCAAGAAAATAACTCATCACGCAACTCGTAGCGTTCGAACTGCCTAGCCGCACTGGTCCGAACTGATTCGTGTACAATTTATCTCATCCGTAATGTATTAAACATTATTATTCCAACCTTTCTTAGCATTGCGCGATCGGCTTCGGCCAGTACCGGCCTTACAATGTGTAGACGTCCTACTACCGAATCCTCACCGAGCTGGTAAAAAAAGTGGCGTTTCGTGTCCTGAACACATCAACAACACTCGAAATTTCAACAACGATGATCGAATGAATGTTGTCCTTCCCAAAAATATGGAGGAGCCGAAGTTTCCTTTTTCTCACAAAAACGAGCAGAACAACGAGAACGTAGTAAATATCATAGAGGAGCTTTCTGAGCGGCGTTATTTGGTAAATTGCGCTTAACACACAAAACGGCAGTTTTAGAGGATTGTTAAACAAACCTTTTTGGACTCGATTGTCAACCTAGTACTGTTTGTGGTCGTGCTCTGTATCGAACGCGAACTCACAGCTGTGCTCTGAATTTCGGAGATCATTGTTGTAAACTGGAGTTGTGAATGATTCTCTTTAAGCGGAAAAGGTACTGTTGTCATACTATTAAGCTCAGGGTAATACAGAAGCCACATTTTCGCCCTTTATTTCAAAACTTCTAAGAGTAAAGTCTTAATGAACGAGAAAGAAAACTAGAGTATAGAAGCGAATTAAATCAGACAACCTTCAGTACAAAAGCTTGGATGAAATTAGAGAGTGTGACTGTGCTAGACAGCAGCTTATTAGGTCAGAGCTATAATTTCAGTCTACAAAGTTAAACATTTCCTCGCTCTATACAACGCTCATTTCCTCGAACTATACAACGCGCTCCTCCCTGCCGGCTGACCAAATCTGAGGAAGAGTCCAATATTTCCATTCAGAAACACTGCCAGAAGGAATTTCATATCAGGAGTCGCTGCTGTGTGCGAGGAAATTTACTTACATGACGGCAAGCCTCTCTCCAATCCTCAAAACCCGCACCAATAGTGATAAGTTGGGTTGGCTAGGTCGTGATTACTCTCCAAGACAAATTTCTAGAATTTTAAAGCAAGAAAACCTTGTTCGCACAAAAACTGTGGAATTCCAGTAGCGATAGATAGGAGCTCATTTAACGTAGTTCCATCAAAAGGCGTGGTTTTGAACAAGGAACTTTACAGAGGGATGGAATTCCATTACTTTTACTGGTGGACGGAAAATAAAATATGAAATTGGAAAAACCTAAATTCTTCCGAAACACAGTGCCCATATTTGTTGACTCCTACATGTTGCAGGACCGTCATCCATAGAAGCAATGAAGTCTGTATCTTGGTGCAGCCACCGTTATATCAGTCCTATACCTTTGTTGACGTTAAGGTGCTAAATCACATCTGATTTTCTCTAGCATCCTTTGTGTTAAGGCATTCCTAGGTCTTCACCAATGGCTGTTTTTTTCATAGGAAAGTTTTTTGCTGCTTGGCTAGCACTCCTCTCGAAAGGCGATCGTTGATTTGGCGTTGAAGTAGATTGGCTGATCGACGACTTGTGCAAAAAAACCGAAGCGACATAAAGTGATACAGATGAAAATGGCATTGTTTGATAAGTGCTCATCAGTTCCACGTTTTTCATACCTTGCTATCCAGTTTGTGCAGAGTATTGAATGGAATTCTCCAAAGTTCATTGAGGCGCTCTTCCTTTAATCGCCGATTTCTAAATTGCGAGACGTTTTAAATTTGTTTGAAATGCAATTACTTTAGGATAAAAACACAGTGAAAATTGAGGTCAAATATTTTACTTTTCCATAGATCAATAATCATTTTTAGGTGACTTGTGGATGTTAAAGCTCTCTAAAATCTCTTGGCGTTGATCAGTCCCTGAAGGATGAGCCATGCATTCTACTTCATTAAACATCGTTTGAAGGTGATTGAATGCATATCTGGCCTTTACAATGACTCGCGGTGGCCTACGGATGTATCGAGCCAGTGCTGATATCCTCCCAGACAAGCAAGGTACCAATTTGTCGACCGCGGAGGAATGGAAGGCTTGGTGGGCCATGGGCGTGGAGATCGTTTCTACGTGGGTGTGGATGAGTAGAATATGGATGTTAGCTAGGATAATATCGCTAATAAGTGACTACCCAATAGAGCGTCAAGATGGACCTTTATAACTGCCACGACCGACTTTCTATTAACCTCGGCATTGATCAAGTGATTTTGTTCGTATTTTTTTGAGCAAACGCGAGGTGTTATTGTTCTTTGTTCACAATTAAGCTGACGTTTCGGCGAATTTCGTCTTCTTCAGAGCCTGGAAAGGTCAAGTTGATAGCAACTCACTCGGCCAAACGCCTCCATAACCAAACAAATAAACCCCAAACCAAGATTTCAATCACTTTGAACACAGCTTTGCACACTCACCGCTTTCTATGAGGTCTCCACTAAGTATG